GCCCGCGCCCCCGCGCCCTTCTCACAGCCCCGCGGCAACTTTGGCACCGCCGCCGTCGAGGCCGGCCCCTCGCTCGCGGAGGCGGCCGCCTCAGCGCGCGCCCACCGCGACAAGCTCCTCAACTTCCAGGCGGAGAACGCGCAGCGCACCACGGTCCGCGACGAGGCGTCCGACTTTGACGTCAGCGCCGCCGTCGCCGGCACGGGAGGGAGCATGTGGGCGACGCCCGAGGACCGCGCGCGCGAGCTCAAGCGCCAGCAGCGCATCCTCCGCGAGATGGAGTGGAACGCGCGGCCCGAGTACGAGAAGCGCCAGCAGGTGCTGAGCATCGACCTGGTCAACGGCCGCGTCGTGCGCAAGATGGCCCCCGCCGAGCGTCCGCGCACGCCACCCGAGGATGAGGGCGAGGAGGAGGAGACGATCCTCTCCCGGAGCGCCGCGGCCGCCGCGGTCACGGGAGGCGGCGGCGGCGGCGGCGGCGGCGCGTTCAGCAGCAACCCGCTGCTAGGATCGCTCGTGAGGCCCGTCTTCAAACCGCCCAAGGGCAAGGAGGCAGCAGCAGGCGGTGACGACGCCGAGGAAGACCCAGCGGCGGCGACGGAGGAGGAGGACAAGGAAGCGGTGCGGAGGCGGCGCGAGCAGCGCAAGGGCTGGCGCCGCGTGCAGGACGACCAGGACGACAACGAGGGGCTGATCCTGGACGGCGGCATCCACGGACACGCGACGGGTGCGGCCGGTGACGAGCCAGGCTGTGGATGATGACGGAGGGGTGCTGTCCAAAACAATGCATGTTCCTTTTTACGATAGCAACGGCATATACATAGAGGTCTTGCAAGGGCTGGTTACATACATGTAGAGGACGGTCTAGAGGGAATAAATGGGTGGTCATGGAAACGATAGCATATTTGGCATTTGCAAAGCGAGGAACACAATATATATTCCGCTCTCTGTCACATCATGCTAATAAAAATTGTTCATTAATTAAAAAGATATAGAACTGGCCGACGTGGTCTGACTTTGTGCGTTGAAAGTATGTATACAAATGTACCTTGTTAGAAAACACAAAGATAACGACAAATAGCAGCAAATAGACGAAAAGCCGAGAGATTGTGCGCCCAAAAATCCTGCAAATTCCCCGTTCGATGAAGAAAGAACGAATGAAGAAAAAAACCGTCCAGCCCTATTTTGTTACACCAAATACCACCAACCTGTGTCTCCGTGCTTCAAAATGCCCCCCTTTTCCCGTCGAGCAGTTTCAGTTCGTAAATATCAATCCTGGTGTGGCATGAAAGAAAAAGGTCCTTGCTGTTCTTCCAGCCATTAAATATCACGCCGAAATGAAGAAATAATGCAAATGTCAGAGGGCAGCTGACGATGGCGGGAGTCTTGCTCCATGTTATTGCCAAATTAGGTTTCCAAAATGAAAGCCCAACATGCCCGAATTGCTTAAAGCATGTAGATTGATCCGGCAGAGCTGGTGGAATATTCATGTCGGTAACGAATCTTGCCACGAAGCGGTGCGTCGTCATGGTGCCAATGACGTCTACACACGCTTGGATTTGGGCTTGCGAGGAAGTCCCTGGGCCTTGCGGGCCTGAATATCGACCTCGGCGAGCCACCTGCTGGCCTTTACCAGCTGGACGACATTAATGACGTTCTTGGCAAACATGATAGGAAAGCTGATGCCGGCGAGGATCCAGGGAACGGTGGAATCCATCTTGTTGGCGCGGGCGAGCTCGAGGGCGGCGGCGCTGTAGGGGTCGGGGAAGAACTGCTTGAGCAGCGAGGCGTTCATGGGGGCGCCGGCTTGGATAGGGGTGCCGCTCGACTCCTCGACCGACCTGATGAGGTGAGGGGAGAGGAGTGGCGAGGAGAAGGAGAGGAGGTAGAGAGCGATGAAGAAGAGCTCGTTGAGACCGCAGAAGATGAAGAGGACAGTCTAGAAGTGTTGTGACTGGTCAGTAAAGGTTTTGACGGGATGGAAGATCCGGTTGTCAAGGGGCACAAACCCTGTTGGTGTAGTAGAGGTTCAAAAGCCAGCTCTTGCTCTTGTCAATGTTCTTGTGGCTCGAGTCGGCGCCGCCAACGACAAGCGTAACATACATGTGCATGTAGTGACTGGAGAAATCGAGGGCGATGAGGGCTTGAAAGAGAATGGCCCAGCGGGGGAAGGCAGAGGAGAGGAAGACGAGGAGGCACGAGGTTGTGCAGCGATCGGTAACCATGTCGAGGACGGCGCCGAAGCGGGTCGACTGCTCAAAGACGCGGGCAGCGTAACCATCGAGGGCGTCGAGCAGGCACGAGATGCTGTAGAGGAACGCGCAGGTTCGCGGATGGAGGGGCATGTAGTAGAGCGAGGCGATGGCGAGGACGATTCGCGAGTAGCCTGAGGGAGAGGGAAGTGTCAGTCTATTGACAGGGATTGGGTAGCTGGGGGCAAGGAGAAGAAGGGGTTGCGCGCGGGGGGCGACGTACCGATGAGATTGGGCCAGAAGAGAAAGATGTTTTCGCGCTCCTCATCCTTGTCCTCGTCGGAGCTTCTAGCGACGACGTGAACGTGGGCGTGGGCAGAGCCGTTGCCATTCATGGTGACGGCGCCATTGGTCTGGGGCTGGTGTTCATCGTCGGACGCGGACAGGGCGGCAGCGTCGCGGTTGCGCGCGGATCGTCGTCTGGTCGAGCGGGCGGACATGGTCGAGAAAACAGCAAGCTGTCTGGAAAAAAGATGCCGGACGGAAGGGCGAGCGGGAGGGTCGAGGTTGAGTCGTCGAGAGTTGGACCGATGGTTCCGGACAGGGGTCGAAGTCACCCAACGAAGCTTAATTTTTTATCGAAGGGTCGGTCGGTCCGGCGCGATGGGGAGAGGGGACGCGCGCCGAATGTATCTGATTAAAGAAAATTGCAAATCGGAAAGGGGTGGAAATGATAGAGATGGTCGAATGGATAGATAAGGAGTGGACACGAAGCGAAGAAAGTGGAAAGTGAAGAATGAAAGAAAAAAAATGTCGGTAGGTGGAAGAGCTTCAAGGTGTGGATGGATTCAGGAGGGGAGGGAGCCAGTTACGTAGGTGTGCAGGCATTGCCACTCACACCTCCGAGGCAGGTACCCAACATGGGACCTCGAAGTAAAAAGATGGCAGCAGTACCTTGACTTGCTCTTTTTTTTATGGCTTTTTCCTAAGTCCTTCAATTTCTTTCTTCGCCAATATTTCAGTTTCTGCTACACTGAAGTAAACAAAATCCTTACCGCTTCTCTCACATCGCCAAGGTCCCCGAGTTTCGTCCAGGAAGGCCAAGTCTTGATACCTTCTCCCTAGGTACTTATGTACCTATCTGTGCTCTCCACACAGACTGGTCAACGATCAATAACTACAGCCTCACCACACTCACCACAAGCAAGTTACCATTCTTAGGTATCAAACAGTCAAAGAGCCCCTCCTCTCCAACACTCACTAAACTCCGCAACGCCATAATCCATGCCAACCCACTCCGCCCTCAGGTAGCTCAAGTAGCGAGCGAGAGCCTTATCAACGTCAAGGTAGCCCTTGAAGGTTTTTTTTTCTTTCTTAATACTGTCAACTTTTCACTTTGCTTTTAACTACTTGACTCTGAATATTAAAATTGCCGCCCATTGAACATCATATCGTTAGATTTGACTCCCCGAAAAAGAATGCTTATCCAAACAAACATCATCGAACTCAATCCCACTGATATCGTTATGCTCCCGGCCTAAGCCTCGCTTTGTCGTACTGCACAGATGACGGGCTTGCATTAGCTACTAATGTACGTGGTAGCTGCCCGCCCAGTCGGCCAAGCGCCGACGGAGCTGTCGCCGAGGCATCTCGCCTCGTCTCCCCACCAGCCTCACCACGTATTATATGGCCATGAAGACGAGCAGCTAGGTTGGCGGCTGACCCTACCTCACATGGAGTCTTATCGTAAACAACCAACCGTTGCCAGCACACAGCAGCCCTTTCACTTACCTAGCATCTGCATCCTGCCACGCAGTCCGCTCCACCCTTCCTTGCGCATATTCCTGGCATTTGGCTTGGCCCTGGGATAATTTTTGGGCCGTGAGCGAGGAAAGATAGGCCTGCAACTTTGACGCGCACACCGCAAACTCCCTCAACCTCACATGCCATTCTCCCACCACCCACCTCCCTCCTCGGTGCCCGCTCCGCCGCGGCTCGCTCTGGGGCGGCGCGGGGCGGGATTTGCGGGGGGACGGGGGACGAGGACCCTGGTTATCAAGCCGTCGAGCAATGATCAACCCCAAACCCTACCCACGTGCTCGAGCATCTGTCACGTCCATAAGATCAAAGGAATTTATTACATCGTCTCGCTCATTCTGTGTGAAACCAGGCAAGATGGCCTAGGCTTCCTTAGTCGAACCCTTCGCCCCGTCCCCGAATGTCTTCGTTCGCTTATACAGGTCCGCAACCGGATCCCAATGTTGGTCCGCATTGGCCGTTCCGTGCATCTTTGGTGGGATTCTGGTCGCATAGAACCCCGCCTGCATTCTTTCGCGCGTTCAAAGACGCAAAGGAAGATCCCGAGGCCGTCGAGGTCTCCTCTTCGTCACTGGCCTGTCCCAAGCACCGCGCTCCCGCAAGACTACTTGGAAGTATGGGCGTTGCCTCCCATGGGCTACTGTGCGTTCCTTTTCATTCCTCGTCGTATTGACGCACTGGTGTTTTCCTCTGCTACTAGCGGGTTACTTCGTACTCATCGCCGCCGACTGGTCGTCCCAAGTCGGTGTGCCGGGCGCGGCGGCGGCACGCACCGCATCTGGACACCAACGAGCCGCAGTAGACGCCGCTGCGGCTCTGGGTCTTTGCTAATAAACCCGCTATGAAGGTTGGCGCAGTCAAAGCATTCAATCCCCTCACAATAAGAGGCATGGTAGTGTGGCGCTTGGTTTCCAAGGGCTACGTCATTCTGGTAATGAATGTCTCGCTTTACCGTCCCGACTCAGGTCTAATTATAGGTTTCTGTTTCTTCAACAATTTGATGTTGCTTGTCCCTCTTTCCCTCTATCAAAACGACACATCTACGAATAATCCGCCTGCCTTGTCTACTCCAAGCTGTGCAACATGAGACTGGCGGTGTGAGATCTTGGTTGTCTTCTTGTTGTCACAGGATAATGAAAGCATGCAACTCGGAGCAACAGCACACAAATCCAGTAACAAAGAAGTAAATGTAGCAAGTTTCGTATCCAATTTGTTTCGGGTCACGGATTCTGTATATTTCGCTCTTGTCAAATGTCACAGCTCAACCACAGTCATGTACTGTCCCACGTATACTCAGCTCCGCCTCTTTGCTACTCCAGCATCGCACTTGTATAATTCTCAGCGGTGAAATGACCCGTTACTTTGTCTCGGCCTCCTGCAAAGATAAGGTCTCGGGGCTGCAGCGCCGATGCACTGACATGGCACCGCAGGTCATTACATGCAGGTAACGCCAGACGGGAGTTATTCGTTGCTCTTCCGTGCAGGTATCACGACATCTAATTGATTGGCGAATTTTCGTCTCCAAGCAATATATTGTCATCGGAAATTAAATGTGAATCATTTTAGACCCAGGCTTATTACCCGTCTTGACCCGACGACAGCCCTGCACAGGTGGCTCGCCAATAACGTCTTGGCTTACACCTCGAGGCGCCATTTCCAGCTGTCGCAATACTTCAATGCATCATGACATGGCTCAAAACTCGTCTAGTTCTCTGCTTGACCTCAAAAGTGAGGGCAACTCAGAAACACGGAAACGCTTGTTTCACTCCAACGGCCGCGAATAGAGTGGGCGTCGGGCTTGAATAGCCCGATCCGCATGACGTGGCCCTGCGGCCCTCTTCCTGTGGTTTCAGTGGTGATGGCTGAGCTTGACGTGCTGTGCGACAACACAAGTTGCGCATATAGATAGATGTCAGAAACGAAAACCGGTGACATTGAGCTTTTACAGAAACGCAATTGCTGTGTGTATCCATCCTCAGCTTGGAGAAAAGAGTAAAGCCGGGAAGGGTGTTGGGAGCCGCCGGCCCGTATGCGGTATACAGGACGGATAATCTGTACTATAAAAGAAACTAGAGGTGCGTTGTTAGTGCATAGTATGTTTATTGTTCCGAGACCGTTGCACTGGTTTTGGCGTCAAAAGCAATGACTGCATGGAGGCTTGAGCTTGGTGGATAAAGAGCCTTGTTGAAAGAATCCATCTTTGTGCCACTGGGACGAGAATCGCCGAGGGCACGGGAGCGCCGAGGAGGCTCCGGTGTCGAAACGGGAGTTGGCGCCCAGGTTGGGCACTTGTCGATTGCCGAACAGGAACAACCATGCCGGTGGCGTCGCGACGGGGTGTTGCCGTGATGGGTTCGGGATTGAGCATCGGCGGCGATGTGAGTCCGCAGTCAAGCCCGTTTGCCTCGATGGGTGTAAGTTGAAATCCGACGGTGCTCCATGTATGATGGTATCGGTATCTGTAGGCGATCACCAGCTAATGGCATTGGCCCCCGGGGGTTGCGGCTTGTCACTTGAAGCAGTGTTTCGTTTGGAATGACGGGCGGTGGCAGGCGTCCTGGCAGCCTGAGCTACCGACTTAATCGCGCAGGGTGTCTTCTTGATGTCTCACATCGCTGGCGCTGGCCATGCTACCTACTGCATTGGCATTGGAGATTTTTCGTGGAGCTGTGTCAGTTGAGGACGGCAGTCCGGAGTGCCCAATAAATGGTATTTTTTTCAATCGCGAGCGCGAGATTCTTGTCGGCATGCTTGTAATTGTGGATGAGAGTAGCTACTGTTGCAGCGAGGAACAGGTCACGGTGAAGGGAGAAGGGCCGGCATCTTGAACCGACAGGTGGGTAGGAAGTACCTTGGTCGGTACCTAGGCAAGCTTGGGCCCTTGGGATAGACTGTACATACATCGGAGTATACAGGGGAATCAGCACTTGATGCCATCTTGAAGGTGTTGTTGAATCGTGCGATGGCTAGGTAAGTTTCGGAGGCTTGCTTGAGGCCCGTCTCGTGTGCAGCTTGGGCTTGGAGGGGTCGGCGGGGATGTGAGCAGGGACGTGTTTGGAGGGGCAGGTGTTGATATTGGCCGGCTGGGTTGAGGGAGATGCGGTTTGGTCCGCAGAAGTGGAGGATGGTGGCAGCAAATGCGGAACAAGTTTGAATCAATGCTTTCTACGCTGGATCCGCCGGTTCTGATAGATATGCGCATGGTGTGTTTATGTTTTGTTGGTTAAGATGGCGGCGAGTCTGGACTTCTTGAATCGCAGTGGGTGGTGGATCGCCGCCTGGCGCCCCCGCCAAAGCAGGCAGGTGGTCTTGGGTTAGGTCGGGGAGGTGGAGGGAGAAACAGCCGTTGATTGTTGTAGAACCAGAAGGGATCACGGGAAGGATCAATGGGTAATAATGGACTAAGAGGGGCAAGGAGAGGAAGGGGGAGACGAGAGAGAAGAAACTTGCATAATGGTGATATTGAGCTGGGTCGAGATGGGATATGGGATCTGCAGTATGCAGCAGCAGCAACAGCAGCAGCAACAGACGAATTCAAGCTGTCAGGTACAGATAGACAGCTGTTGATGGGTCAAGGTGAGTTTGGCAGGCCAGCCTGACTTGTGCTTGTCGCAAAGTACCTGACCTGGGTAGGCAGGTAGGCGGACTGTGGCTGGCAACTCGCTGCACCATAGTGGAGCGG